AACCTGGATTGATAAATTTTTTTATTTATTTTTTATTGAAATGATAGAGCAGCTTTCTGCAAAAGGCGATTAGATGTAGTCATGGAATGGCAGCAAAAACACAAAGGGCAGGTGAACTTGTGACCTAGATTTTTGATGTGTATTTTGATGTGCATTTTGTACGGATTTTGATGAATTCTCAATGACACAATTGACAGACATATAGATTTGTCTGTCTGTGGTGTAAGAGTCACAAAGGTAATTTGACCGAGAGTGCATATTTCTCATCGTCACAAAAAAATGGTCAGGGAAAGGGAATGTCGAGAACTGTTTCAAAAAGCATGCGTCTCCCGTGTGAGTGGTGTGAAAGTGAGGACTATGTAGCTCAATGGATAGTTAGATTTGATATAATACTTCTCCACTCTCTTCCCAATCCATCAGGCCCGACCAGGCCGCGCGGCCGACTACTGTTAGCTTGGGAGTGATGAGTCAAAGATGACCCACTCAAAAAGTACCTAATTTACCAAATTACTATTAATTGGAAAAAAAAAATATGAAAAATTAAGTGTGACATTTGATTATTTTGGTATTGCATCATTCATCCTGTGAATGACATTGGAAAAAATTTGGAAAAAAAAAATGTTTTAATCTTCTAACTTTTGGGAATGTAAAATTTAGCTCCGTAAATGTTTGCATAATAATATTGTGGAAGTGTTCAAAATTAAAGAAACAGTCACTTGATAGCTCTATTGAAGATTTTTAATTTCAATGGATTTTGGGACCAAAAAAGGCCCAAACTATATATCGTCCTCTTTGGTGGTTTTTTCATGTTACCATAGAAACGAGTTTCAAAATCTTAAGTCAGGGAAGACATTGTCAATATTTTGTCGTTTTTGAAATATGTGTATTATTTTTTTTTCATTTTTTTTTTTTTTCAAAATAACCTGTGTTTGGTTTTCCATTCAATATAAGGGCACAGAGAACATTACTGACACTATTTTCTTGTTTATTTTCAATCTGTAATTATTGTTGGATAAAAAATACATATCAAAGATACATATTTACCTATTATGTTTCTGTAGACATTTGTACTTTTCAGTTCCAAAATAGAAAATAGTCATGTGTCTTCCTAAAATGCTTAGAGTTTCCAAACTTCACCAACAGTGAACTGAATCGGAGACACGCACAGTCGTAAGATGACCACACTTGTGTTTACACAGGCCGATGGCCTCAAACTAGATTAGACCTCGGCCTCATCAACCACAATGACAGATGTCTTTGTTCTCCCCTCGTTAATGTCTCACAGGCCCCGCAGTCTCCGGCCAAACCTAGTCACTCATGTCAAAAAAAAGGTAAAACTAATATTTCACATGATTGTCCTATATTTAATATACATGCGAAGACTTTCGTAACAATTTTCAAGTATCGACTTCTTCATGAGTTTTGCGATTAATTCAATATATTCACCGTTTGTCCTTCACATCGGTAGAAACGCAAATCAAGTCAATCATTGTAACAATTTGTGTCAGTTTCTACTTGAAAAGGTACCAAGCAATATATCAGTTGTTTGTCCATTTGATCGAAATCTGCATTGTTAGTACAAGGGCTTGAAAGCATGTCCTTATTAATAGCAAGCTTGAATCTGGATAACAAATACGGAAAAGACTGAAGCAAGTTTCCAAATGTGTTCCTTCACTGAAATCTGTACCGTAAAGGATTTTAGCAGTTTATAGATAACAATCTTTTCATAATTACTGGTAATGACTTTTTTTGTGATCTCCATGATCAAAGAGGCAGAGTAGCATCAATCATGTACATGTATATGAAGTATCAATGACCATTCTATGACCAAATATGACCATTACCATGTCTGTGATCAAAACTTACATTAAATGTACGTGATCTGAGCTGACCTGTAGCTGTCTGGTCCGAGCCGAGATATCTGATCAGAGATGACCTATCTCAGATCATAACTGACCTGTCTGTGATGAGAAATGATCTATCTTTGATCAGAACTGACCTGTCTGTGATAAGAAATGATCTATCTTTGATCAGAACTGACCTATCTGTGATCAGAACTGACCTGTCTGTGATCAGCAATGACCGATCTTAGATCATAACTGACCTGTCTGATCAGAACTAACCTGTCTGTGATCAGAACTGACCTATCTCAGATCATAACTGACCTGTCTGTGATGAGAAATGATCTATCTTTGATCAGAACTGACCTATCTGTGATCAGAACTGACCTGTCTGTGATCAGAAATGACCGATCTTAGATCATAACTGACCTGTCTGTGATCAGAGAACCAAATCTAACTATAGTGACCTATGTTTAAATATCTTTCTTTACATGATTTAAGAGAGTTGTGTGTGATCACTCCCTGTAAAATACAGAGATGACAGCCCAAAAATTAAGGAGCCTGGTTGATGATACCCTTGCGAGTCTTACCTCGAAATCTTCGGCAGATCACAAGGCACTAAGGAAAGAACACAAGTACCAAATACGAGGCTTGCACCAGTAAAATTGGCGGCAGAATTCATCGGGGAGCAAGTCCCTATCAATCAACAGGAACGATTTTCATGAAAGCTATTTTTAATTGCTATTATATCTTGATTCACTCGACTAATTGTTGCTTCTGGTCAAGGGGCGATGAGTTTAGGTGAGCAGATTCTCATTTAATCCTGATTTATTTCTATTTGTTTCACATGCACACCGAAAGCACAGGACAATGTATGGGATTACGGTTTCCCATGGTAGTATTAATAAAAATTATGGTAACACAATTGCATAACTTCTTGTAATTTCAAATTTGATTTTTTTTCGATTTGAAGTTCTTGGGTGAAGCTTTAGTGATGATTATTTAGGGGAACCTAGCACCTCTGTCCCTATTAATTGGTCCTTGTGTAAGATTGGCCCTGATGAACTGCCAACATCCGACATGTCGGCGGTATTCCATCACTGATTGTTAAAACATTTTTTCATGAACTGCATTTTTTAAGTTGTACATAATAATATGATGTCACTGCTCAAAATGACAAACTGTCCTTATCCTAAATATGTGTGTTTCTCTGGTTCGCGAAGCATGTCATTGATTGGGAGGGGTTGGGGGAGTGACGGCAGCCTTGCATAGGATTGGCTCGGCTTCCTATTTACTTTAAAACTGTAAAGTTGCAGACAATTTGTTTAAGAAGGGAGGGGAAATGATGACAAATGAGATTGAAAAGTTTTATGATCTCGGTGAAGACAATTACAGTGGGGTGACAAAGACTTGAAGAATTCTGATGACTAAATCCTAGTTAAGACAAGATTGAGAAGTCGGGTGTAGGAACTCTGGTTATTAGGCAATATTGAGGGGCGAGGCATCTGGTGTGAATGTCTGGGAGAATTGTAGCCAAGTAAAGAGGAGATGGAGTGTTGGGAGGGGGGACGGCAGGAGGACAGAGTGTAGGGAGGGGGGACGGCAGGAGGACAGACTGTAGGGAGAAGGGACGGCAGGAGGACAGACTGTAGGAAGATGGAGTGTTGGGAGGGGGCACGGCAGGAGGGGGGGAGGCAGGAGGACAGAGTGTTGGGAGGGAGGATGGCAGGCGGACAGAGTGTAGGGAGGGGGCACGGCAGGAGGACAGAGTGTAGGGAGGGAGGATGGCAGGCGGACAGACTGTAGGGAGGGGGACGGCAGGAGGACAGAGTGTAGGGAGGGGGGACGGCAGGAGGACACAGTGTTGGGAGGGGGAGCAGTAGGAGGACAGAGACAGTATGAGAAACCAAATTGTCCTGAAAACCAATAAAGTGTAGACAATGCTTCATGAAAGATTTAAATCCAGGGGACTTCATCCCCTGAGGTTGTCAAAATAACACGCTGTGGCGATTCGGTAATTCCTGAGGGTCCACTGGGGATTGCTGTTTAAATTGCTTCAAGTTTTAAAAGACAAGAATTGGTGTTTGGTCATTTAAAATGATCACTAAATATTGATCAGTGATTTGTCATCCTCGCTGTGCTAGATGATAACTGTCATTTTTGTATCTTAAACCCTCATACCATGACAATTTTAATGAACTTTTTGTTTTTGAATCACTCTCGTAAAACATAAAAAATATTAAGATGTCTGGGACTTGACTGGTCAATGCATCTCTAAGACAACAACAAAATCAAAAATATCTGAAACTGTCACATTTATTTACACCGTCAAAGTACAATAGAATTATGTCACCGATAACTTTGGTACAAAATCAATGTTCATATCTCAGAAAACATGTTAAAAAGAAATTACTTTTTATTAGAACAAAACAAATCACAGTAATTTTTGTTTTTTTGCAACAACTTTTCTGAAGTTTAGAATAAAAACTTACAGCAAGACAAAATGGAGATTGCAGTGATATGAGATGGGAGTGATATGAGGATCGGAGTGATACTGATTATTATCGGGGACTTGTTTGGCAACAAGTCTGTGTCAAGTCCTGAAAGACAATCTCGCTTGGTCTGCCATCAGCTTTGTCCTCGTGTTTCTGTTCGATACTATCGCTCCCACACAGCATCCATCGCCTAATGTTCGTACATCACAGCAAGTACGAGTAAGGCCAAACTGGCTGCTGCTTTTATCGTTACCTGCGTCAGGTAATCTCAGATGAAACTCACATAGGTAGGACAATTGCTGCTGGAAGCAACTGTCGGGTGCTGATTGTTTGGACGAGACTGTCATTGAGATACATACTGAGATGGGTTTCGAATTGATCAGTGGATGGTTAAGTAGTCTGTCCGTAGCTCGAATGAACATATATCAGCTCAAAAGACAGAATATAATTATATTCATTTTGTCTTATTTTACTGCTATTTTTTTTTTTTTTTTTTTTTAACAAATTCTTAATACTGCAAAAATTGTATTCCAATGAGTTTTTTTCCAGGGCTTGTGTCTGCGGTTCTGTAAAACTAACTATGCGTGCAGTAATCCTAATAGCCAGATCTCATTGATGTATCCAGGCCTAATTGATTTACTAATATTATACCATTATATTTCAGGAAATGAAGGTCAACTGGGCCACCTCTCCAAGTAATCAGCCCAAACAAGACACAAGCAGTAAGTTGACATTTTGTTTGTCTCTTTATCAACAAAAATAACATTTTCCCTTTGTCGACAGTAAATTAACATTTTCTCTGTTTCCTCTTCAACAAAAGTTTTCATTTTCTCCTTTGTCATCAGTAAGTTCAAATTTTCTTCTAGTCAAAAGATAGTTCAAATTTTCTTCTCGTCAAAAGTAAAATTTTCTTCTTCTAGTCAACAGTAAGTAAACATTTTCTTATCTTAGTGAACACTAAATGGCAGATGTCTGTTTCTTTACTACACGACTGATATGTATGACTGTTTATTTCCCTTCTCAAAAGCTGTATGTTACTGTTCCCTCATTCTCATCTCCAGCATCGATTAGTCTTGCATTTACGATTAGTATGTTGACCATTTTCTCACTCTGACCCAGATATTCTATACAAGTTCAATATCGATGTCATCTGATCCCGCTGTCGAGGGGAAGCAACCTTTCTTCTCTGCTAATCTATTGATAATTAATTACGTGTTCTGTATTGTGATCCTCATCACAATTTCTCAATGAGTCTCAGGTAGGCTCTGCTGGCCTGGTCCGAGTGTATGGGAAGTCTTTAAAGGATTTCCGTGTGATTACTACACTCGGATAGTTTCTATTGTGTACGGAGGCTTGGCTGGAGATACTGCGTATAGCCTGGCCATACATCTAGGTCTACTGACATAGAAAGTATTAGAACGGTTCAATAATGGTTGTATGTCCTCACTGCTCTCCCATCATGCCCTCGTTCCTGAACGTGTCCTTGTAGGACTTTGTTACTCCCATCATGCCCTTGTGTCCTGAACGTGTCCTTGTAGGACTTAATTACTCCCATCATGCCCTTGTGTCCTGAACGTGTCCTTGTAGGACTTTGTTACTCCCATCATGCCCTTGTGTCCTTGTAGGACTTTGTTACAACAGGTCAGACTCTGTATGCTTGACTGCCATCGAAGTCTACCAATTTAAGCCCTAAACTTAACAGCACTATAAATATAAAAAGAGAATATTTAATGTTTTGTTCCTAAAAGAATTCTTAACTTGTTTGTCTTGACTATAGGGTAAAACACTCAACCTTAATTAAGGGTTACAACACTCAAGCTAAGGGTTATAACACTCAGCCTAGACGGGTACGACACTCAAGCTAAGGGTTATAACACTCAGCCTTGATGGGTACGACACTCAAGCTAAGGGTTATAACACTCAGCCTTGATGGGTACGACACTCAAGCTAAGGGTTATAACACTCAGCCTTGATGGGTACGACACTCAAGCTAAGGGTTATAACACTCAGCCTAGACGGGGGCGACACTCAACACTCAAGCTAAGGGTTATAACACTCGGCCTAGACGGGTACAACACTCAAGCTAAGGGTTATAACACTCAGCCTAGACGGGTGCGACACTCAACACTCAAGCTAAGGGTTATAACACTCGGCCTAGACGGGTACAACACTCAAGCTTAGGGTTATAACACTCAGCCTAGATGGGTACAACACTCAAGCTAAGGGTTATAACACTCAGCCTAGACGGGTGCGACACTCAAGCTTAGGGTTATAACACTCAGCCTTGATGGGTACGACACTCAAGCTAAGTGTTATAACACTCAGCCTAGACGGGTACGACACTCAAGCTAAGGGTTATAACACTCAGACTAGACGGGTACAACACTCAGGCTAAGGGTTATAACACTCAGTCTAGACGGGTACACCACTCAAGCTAAGGGTTATAACACTCAGCCTTGATGGGTACAACACTCAAGCTAAGGGTTATCACACTCAGCCTAGACGGGTACAACACTCAGGCGAAGGGATATAACACTCAGCCTAGACGGGTACAACACTCAAGCTAAGGCTTATAACCCTCAGCCTAGACGGGTACAACACTCAAGCTTAGGGTTATAACACTCAGCCTAGACGGGCGCGACACTCAAGCTTAGGGTTATAACACTCAGCCTAGACGGGTACAACACTCAAGCTAAGGGTTATAACACTCAGTCTAGAAGGTTACACTACTCTAACGATGTCATTGACTCATCATCAGGAAGTAACCAATACCTCAAGCCCAAAGCCATCATCGCTACGTGTTTATCGTAGCTGTAATTCTCCCTGACCAATGTATTGCCTGAATACACAATAAAAAACAGTTTTCATGGTCGTTTATTTACTAACCATTGTTTTGTCCCAGCGTCCCATAAAGCCCATTGATTGACATGGCTATTTATTTACAGAATATTTTGCCTAAATACACAATATATTTATTTTTTTGCAAGGCTATTTGCCATTATGGCTGTTTTGACAAAACCCCATAAACCACTGTATTTACATAGCCTGTGTGCTATGACCACAGATCGGCTTGGGAGGCGGTGAACATTACAGTAACCAGTGTTTTACTATTTATAAGACTGACGCCCGTGTCGGCATAAGAATGGGGCTCATAACGACATAAAGCACGCATGTTGCATGTGAAGTCTAGTGTGACAGCACGGTAACGGTCCGGTCGACATTTGTCACCAAGTAGGGTGGATTGGTCGTGATTACCCCTAATTACAGAGATAAAGGTCATGCATTATTGCCATAATAGCGGCACGTGCCCATAGAGCCAGTGTAACCCTACAGGGCTCAAGGACAGCCGAATCTACACCCTAGTTTTTAAATTAAAAAAATCTTTAGAATAAATGTCTCAGAATTGTGTAGAAGTGATTTTCCATTTTGTTCTTGATAGCCTATAAGCTAGCAGCTATTGTTGCACTGCATGCTTCTCAATGTCAATTTGTCAATTTAATGACGTTACATATCCTAGGATTTGAACCGTACTGGTGCGATTCTTTGTTCCGATACCTACCTACCTCCGGTTTGAAGTTGCTACGGGTAAGATAGCTCCCCCTGGCCTGTAGAGGTTTTTATGTCCATGCTGGGTTTACGGCCTGATTTATATGATAGCTCAATACCACATTTTTCAGGTAATTCAAGGACGTCGTTCCAAGGCTCTGTGTAAAGGTGCTCACTAATACAGGGTTACTGAAAGTGTGTACATGATAGGTAGTTGTAACAGTATTTACCCACAGTATAAACTCGAAATTGGATCACATTTGTTAGAATTATGGTAAAATTAGGTTGTTAAAGAGTTCCTTTTTAGGTGTTATTTATATCCATAAAAGTGCTATTTAAATTAGGCATCTATTCAGAGATTCAAATTGTCTATACATTTCGGAACGAATAGCATTTTTCCTTCTTTTTAAGGCAGATGTGGTAATTTCATATAATTGTCTGTACAGAATTAGACTATATAAGTTGGTAATTTACCTGTCTAAATTTGAAGGCTTGAAAAACTTTAACATAGATATAATACATTTAAATGTACAATTTTGATGATTTTAGTTCACATATTATTCCAGACATGGCAAACAAAATTCCTAAGAAAGAAAGAAAACATTTAGAAAAAAATGGAATTCATTAATTTGAAGCGAACTTATAAACAAGGATGACAAATCCATGCAACGGGAAACCTAACCTTTATTGTTACGAAGACATGCATTCATCACTGGCATCCCGTGCCAGTTTGACCTTTGGTGACCTTTGATAATAAGATGCCATTAGTCTTTAATGTTGACTGTTTGACCTTTATAGTACCTTGACCTATAGAAATGTAGCTATTTTACACCACACCAGTGTTCCCTGTGCAATTAGAATCGGGCAAATATAAACAAATACATCTGAACAACTTCACCAGATCAAGGTTGCTACCTCACCTGGGTCCCCCCCCCCCCAGAAAAAAAATAAAAAATATTGAGCAGAAAAATAGGGTTTAGATAAGGATTGGTTATAATTCCCTACACCAGACTAGCCCTCCACCACTGGGTCACAGATTGGAGGCCTACATGGGGCAGATGCCAGGTACTGGCCGTAGGTCGGTGGTTTTCTCCAGGAACTCCGGCTTTCCTCCACCACTAAATCCTGACACATCCTTAAATGACCATAGCTGTTAATAGGACGTAAAACACAAACAAACAAACCAATCTACACCAGACTCAAAATATATATTCTATAATACAGGTATACAGTGTTCCTATGTGTTACCCTATCTAGCTGGTTATTGATGAAATTCAGACTTATAGTTTTATAACGGTTATCCAGTCTATCATTAAATGTGTGTATATCCAGTCTATCATTAAATGTGTGTAAATTTGGTGAGGCACTACATTCTCTGGTAAGTTATTCAATATGTTCACTTCTCGGAGTGAGAAAAATGGTTGAGACAAGACATTGCCCATTGTGGAAATATGTTTTCGAGTGTCTTGCTGTTCCTTGCTTTTTAAATATTTCAAAATTTGAAATTGCTTCCTTTCTTACTTATGAAAGAAGGAATTTCACCAAATTTTATCTTAACTCATTCACCCCTGAAGACACACTTGAACTCTTCCAATTCAAAGGTTGGAATAGTTCATTATGAAAGTTCAGGGGTGAATGAGTTAATATCTGTAGGCGAATGGGACTCAGTGTGTTGGAAAGGAATTGCCCCAACCCGGCCCGCACCCGAGGGTAATTAAGGGCTGGAGTCTAATACCCATGGGTAGATAACAGGTAGTAATGAAAGTACGTATGATAGCTACCCTGGAATAGACTGGCAGTTAATGTTACTCTGAGGTTACTCTCTTCATATTTCAGCAGTATCATTGACCTCTGCTTTTCATTTTGTGTTTCAGAACATTTCCATATATTTGTTGGAGACCTCAGTCCAGATATAGAAACACACCAACTCAAGGAGGCGTTCGGAGCTTTTGGGGAAATTTCGTAAGTATACTATTGTCTTAGCTGATGGCTGCTTCGAGGTATAAGTATGTGAGGTTCACAGGGACAACGACCATGTGCTGGGTTGTAGCAGTGTATTCAGTCGTCAAAGTAAGCAAGGCGTCGTGGTCATTGTATACAGGTGTGGGACATGCTTCAAGAATCTCTTGTGTCTTGGTGTAATGGTATGGTCAACATTTGGTACTGGTCCTTGTGGTAGATCAGTTAGTTCTTGTGTGGTATGTGGTAGACAGATCTGTAGACACTCCAGTAGCAGGGCTACAGTCCGTGTTATTGGTATATGTGGTAGACAGATCTGTAAACACTCCGGTAGCAGGGCTACAGTCCGTGTTATTGGTATATGTGGTAGACAGATCTGTAAACACTCCGCTAGCAGGGCTACAGTCTGTGTTATTGGGATATGTGGTAGACAGGGTTGCCAACCTCTTAGGAGTCCAGTGTGGGAGATCTCCCTCCACTGGGTTTTTCAATGTGTGAGACTTTTGACGGCGCCGCGGCGTAACGTCGTTTTGGGTGTTAATTAAGATAACATTTACAAATGTATCAAACAAATCCTGGCTTTCTCTGACTACTATAACATCTGCATTGTTGATATTTTCACTTCAAGATCTTTGTAGGAAAATAAAACAAAACATTTTTTGCAGATATATAAAAGATTTTTATTTATTACACAAAAAAAACTGACATCAGAAATGCAACACATCATATAATCAAAGGCCTTTCTTGTAACGATTCCACCCTTGCCTAGAACAGGTAGCAGTCTTTTTTCTGTATTTCCATGACCTGTTTAAAAAACAGTTCATATCAAAAGTAAGAACTTTACCATAGTAACATGAAAAAGTTCATAACATGAAAATATGATAATTTGACAGTGGAAAAATATTTTACAATTACTTCTGGCTACTATTCTAAGCAACAAATAACAGTAAGACCCTTAGCATTTATACCACGTTTGCAATCCGATCACGTTATTTTTTCATCTCATCAGATTAAAATTGTTCATTACTACAAGTCTCTGGTGTGTTAAATCATATACGCCACTTTACTGCAAAAAATAACTTCAAACTTTTCATCAGCCTTCAGCGGCTGTCTGTTCGTGATTCAAGAATCATTTTCTCTTAATATTTGTGAAGGCAGGACCTAAAAACAATCTCCTAATACACGACGATATAACTAGTAAAACTTTCTTTTTCTGTGCGATAGGTACGTTCAATATTAAGTTTACGAGTGAAAACAACTTGATTGATTGATTGATAGGTTTTATGTCCGCTTCACTACCGAGTAGTTCGGTATAATTATCCACCAGACGATTGTGAAAACAACTCACCTTACGATATATTACATTCGTTTCCACCGGATGTAAAGCGACACCTCTCGTCAGCTCACTTCCAAAGCACAACGTTGCAATAAGAGTTATTCCCCTTTGTACGACCCAAGCTAAAAATAATTGCCGATTTATGGCTTCGCGTGGGATAGAGGTAGAATATTTTCGAATACGTGAGATTTATACCTCACGTGGCGTGAGGATTGTTTCAGCGTGAGTAAGGACGTTTTTGCGTGAGTTTTTGTCTCACGCCATGGGAGTTGGCAACCCTGGGTAGACAGACCTGTAAACACTCCGGTAGCAGGGCTACAGTCCGTGTTATTTGGATATGTGGTAGACAGATCTGTAAACACTCCGCTAGCAGGGCTACAGTCTGTGTTATTGGGATATGTGGTAGAACAGTGATAGATGGGGCAGCCTCATAAAAGGCTAGTTAATAACATTATTTCCCTTGCCGCTCGTTATTGGAAGTGGGGCTTACATCATGGCGGGCAGGGGCTACCTGCGATATTGAATTGGCTAGATCAACATACATCGGCCCTCGTACTCACGGGAATTCTCGCTTTGTTCCGTGCTACAAAAATGTGGAATTTGTTGAAAATTTGATGAGCACAAGCTAATTGATTGTAATGAAAGCGAGAGAATTGACAATCACACGGCAGCCATCGCCACTAAAAGTAACGTAACTCTGCTACACTAATCCATCAGGGTCAAATTTGTGTTTGTTTAATTGATGATTTGTCAAGAGTATAACAGGTCCAGTTCTGTATATGTACAGGGTACGTGTACCGCTGTGTCTAACTAGACGTAAGTGACCTCTAACGTCTAGATTGGTCAGCTCATCAGGTCAAACTTTGCAATGAAAGTGACCTTTTACTAATATAAAAGGTCAAAAAGTCTCGATAGATTCTGAATTAATTTACACCCTGTTGAATAGTGTAGTTTGCTCCTTATTCACTCCTGTAAATTCACTGGAGATGACATTTAGTTAGAAGTAGAATGAAAGATAATGACAGATTGGGAGCAGAGTTGTACTATACTGTACCAAATACATCACCTATAGAATTGTATGTGAAAGTTAACAGATTACCTCAGTTTTATACAGATAATGTTCATAACGGTATGAATGCAAGTCCCTGACATATATGTTCCATGAAACTTGCTTTAGACTTGCAGTCATACTGGTATGAACATTGGGGGGGGGGGGGTTAATCGCTACTTTTATCTACATTCTTATATTTTATATTTGATTAATAGGCGTTAGTGGTCTAGATGTAAATTTCCTTAATATTTCTGGTATTGTTGTATCTTGCTTCTTGCAATTGTTTCAAGTTATGCAAGGCATTAGAAGCCTCAGAATGACACTTATCCCATTGTGCTCATAGCTATATGAGCGCAATTTCTCCTTGTAATTTTTTATGACAGGGCTGCCAGCAAAACATTTATATATATATTGTATATTCGAAAAATCTGTCTGTACCTTTACCACAAATCCCATTCTGAGGAGAACAAATATCCAGACCTCTGCTTGTCTGAAGACACGATGCAGGAGAGGAGAGTCTAGCCACCGGTCTCTAAGATAAGCCCCTAGTTTGAAGGTCCCCCTCAGTTCAACCAAGAGGAGTCGGCTGTACTTGGGTGAAGCACCAGACTTCCTCATACATTGCTTCCTGGGTTTCGTGATGCACCTACTTTGTGCACCAAGCAATTAAATCAACTAATAAAATGCTGTCTGAATGTGTTAGATATTATCCTGTCAATTCTGCACAATTATGACAGTGTTTGCTCTTCTCTGTCCCTACATTATCGTAAAGAATCGACATAATTCCATCCATCTATATACATAAGGTATATTTGAAATATTGGAAGTGTTTTGCTGTTGGTGCCTGGGGGACCATAGTGCCGAGATATGTCGACTAGTAATTAGGTTATGTAATGAAGGTCAAAGGCACACTTATTTAATTAACAACTCCCATGGTCCCTCAGCTGACTCATATTTTTCTCAGTATATCGCACGCCGTATTTTCTATTTGCCTATACAAAATACAATTTCCCCAACTATAAACCTCTGATAAAGCTAGCAGTTCCATTCATTGCTCAAGGTGACTGAGATGCTTGGCAGATAGACGTTATTGTAGGGAGGCTATCAGAACAGCCTGATATAGACATGGAAGGCTTTTAGAACAGCCTGATATGGACATTGTTAATGAAGGGAGGCTATCAGAACAGCCTGATATTGACATTGTTAATATAGGGAGGCTATTAGAACAGCCTGATATTGACATTGATAATGAAGGGAGGCTATTGGAACAGCCTGATATTGACATTGTTAATATAGGGAGGCTGTCAGAATAGCCTGATATAGACATTGTTAATGTAGGGAGGCTATCAGAACATCCTGATATAAACATTGTTAATGTAGGAAGGCTTTCAGAACAGCCTGATATAGGCATTGTTAATATAGGGAGGCTATCATAATAGCCTGATATATTAACATTTTAAAGTAGGGAGGCTATCAGAATAGCCTTATATTGACATTGTTAATGAAGGGAGGCTATCAGAACAGCCTGATATTGACATTGTTAATATAGGGAGGCTATCAGAACAGCCTGATATTGACATTGTTAATGAAGGGAGGCTCTCGGAGAAGCCTGATATAGATATTGATCTAGGGTAGTTTTCAGAATAGCCATATATATATAGGATGGGATGATGCTATTAGGGATATCAGTTTACTAGATGTTGGATCACGATTGTGAAGTTAGTGTAATTGATGAGTTTGATACGAAAATTAAATATCAGAAAACCATAACTAATATGGCTCGTCGTTACAATAGGATATAGATACATGTGACATTCATACGTCGAAACAAGGCAGATAGAGATAGGATCAAGGACGGTTCCTTTCTGTGGGGTAAGACTAAAAGGTCAGAGGATTATCCTTGTTTAGATGTGTAACGTAGGTGACTGAAATATTCGTACAGAAACCTAACAGGATTAGGGTGCTGTCTGTTCAAAATGTCCTAAAGTCGCCCCGAATATTTCATAAGTAATGACGACTGAGTGATAAACTTGGTTTCCCTGGGTTCATTAGTGGCAGATATTGAAAGCAAAATTGCTTGATATCGTAAAGAAATGTATTCTTTTACCCAAAAATAGAAGTTGTACATAATTGCTGAAGAGTCTTGTTTCCTTGTCTCAGAAAACAGAATATTGCATACATAGTTGCTAAAGAGTTATACAAATTTGGTGTCATAGATAAAAAGTAAATTGCATTTCAAAAAGTATATATAGCAGCCTTCTGTAAAATCTTACTCCCACAGTTTTGGTCATTCGCTGTGGAAAAAGTGTTGAGCTGTTTTTGTAATTTAGTTAAGTGGCTTTAAGTGTTCCTGTGGTGGTGATGTGTCTATAGATACCTGCTTACGTGATGTCATTTACGTCCTTGTGCTAGCTTAGCAGGTGTTTTCTACCTCTACATGTGCTTCATGTATTTGTGATGATTTTTTATTGCCGACATAAATATGCCAATACCTGTATTGAGTACCTGAAGCCGAGAGGCCCAGGTGTCGGGTACCAAGTGCTGCATCATTTATACGTTGACCGCGACGGAGCTGAAAACTGGCATAAACGTCACTGGACCATAACATATTGATTATAAGTTCACAAAGCTCATAAAAAAGATACAGAACCTATTTCCAGGTAGAATATTAGCACATTTACATGTCATAAAGCTCGGCCAACTCTACCCAAGGTGATTGGACGACCAAAAATAATTGACATTTCCAGGCTAATGTGAATTCTCAGGGGTTGTGAGGTTAATGATTGAATATCAGAAATTAAATTATAGAGACGACTTCTGTGGAGAAACAAATTTTTGTTATCATGTTAAGTAATTATTGCCGATCATTACCCAAGCACAATCTTTAGTATGATAGACGGAAAAGCTCGAGAATAGAAACTTTATTGAAATGTAATGATATTAGTGTCCTATCAGTCTTCACTGAATTCATTTACCCAGCATTGCTATCATAGCTAGCAGGGTTAACAATAAGACAGAAAATTAGTTTCCTGTCAGCCGTTATGGAATTTACTTGTATATTAACCCTACGTTTCTATCATGACTAGCTAGGTAAGATAGTAGAGAAGAAATAATGGATTGATCTTCATGTTGTGTTTGTGTTCAATAATATTGAAAAAAAATCACACTTTAGGTTTCTTTTTCCTCCATTGTTCTGTGTTAAAAATTTATTTAAAAAGACATTTTAGTTTAGTATTGTTAGACAAGTTGATATTTAAAAAGACATTTTAGTTTAGGGTTGTCTGAAAAGTTGATATTTAAAACGAAATTTTAGTTTAGGATTGTCAGAAAAGTTGATATTTAAAAAGACATTTTAGTTTAGGGTTGTCTGAAAAGTTGATAGGTTGTTAATGTTCGGTCAATAATGCTTGCAAAGCAACAGTTTGTACGAGACACTTATTTTTACTATTCATACAAATAAAATGTAGTTTACGTTATATGAACCGAGAACATAATAAACTTGTTTATATGCAGTTCACAGTAAATGAACCTCAAATATAATTGAATTTTAATTTTCAAAGTTTATATTAAATGATCCTGAAGTATAATGAACTTTTACTGAACAAAGTTCACAGTATATGAACCTAAAGAATAATTAATTTATGTCATACGCAGTTCACAATATATGAACTGCAAATATCATGAAGTTTTATTATTCACAGTTTTTAGGTCACCTGAGCTTTAGCTCAAGTGACCTATTGCTATCCGTTTTCGTCCGTCGTCGTCCGTCGTCCGTCGTCCGTCGTCCGTCGTCCGTTAACATTTTACATTTCAAACTTAAAGTCAAGTTCTGCTGGGCCGATTGAACTGAAAGTTGGTAGGAATGATCGCCTCATGGTCCTGACAAAGTGTTGTTATTTTTCGGGTCGATCAGAAATCCAATATGGCCGCCACGGCCGCCATTTTGAAAACCTATTTCAAACTTAAAGTCAAGTTCTGCTGGACCGATTGAACTGAAAGTTGGTAGGAATGATCGCCTCATGGTCCTGACAAAGTGTTGTTATTTTTCGGGTCGATCAGAAATCCAATATG